TTCGTATGTTGCCTTCTATTCAGGTTGAGACCCCTATTATAGACTGGTGAATGTCCCTTAGTGTGGATATATTTATACGTATGGACTAGATAGATATTGTGAGGTGTCTACGGTGTATCTGCGTATCGGGTCACTGTATGGATTGCAGTTAGATTAGAACTTGCTCGTGAGTCTGACCCACTCCTTTATTATTCTTTTTAGGTACAGGACGGTTCCAGCCTTAGAGCTTGATCGTGCTTGTCGAGGACAGTCTCACCTTCATCTGATTACGTAGGACTTCTCTCGATATTTCTAGCATTATCTATTTTCAGTTTTCAGTTTCAGTTGAACTTTTGGTTAGGGGTCCATCAGTGGATTCCCAAGTTGTAACCTTGAAGTTTTGGAGGATTGGATTTTTAATTTTCAGTTATACATGGAGGATTTTATAATTAAGGTTACTTTCAGTTTTATTCCATCACTTTTGTTTCATTTTGTCATCTGTGTTCGCTTTAAACTACTTTAATTGTTTGATATTCCCTCGGGTTTGGGCCCGGGCCTGATCAACCCGTGTCTCGGATTCGAGGGGTATCACACGAATGCCTCATTTCTCTTCTCCGAAGTCTACAACAAACAAGTGGGAGAGGCAGGATTCGAACCTACGTAGAAAAACTTAAACAGATTTCCAGTCTATCGCTTTTGACCGCTCGGCCACTCGCATTGTCTCTCCCCGGCTAGGTTACAACTTCGCCTGGGTGACTACGAGAGAAACCCTAAAATAGAGAACACAATTATATGATGATAGAGTAGTCATTAAAAAGTTATTTTTTAAATCCAACCACTTACCGTCTTCTGCAATAAGCGATAAGTAATTTTCCCCACGCTTAAAATTTTGGCATCTTTTAAACAGTACTTACCATGTTAAGCGGTATCCTAAAATTTTATCAAACAAACTTATTTTTAAAAATCATTTACCATGTTCTGCATTCAGCGCTGAATTAGGAAATCAAACAGGCCCTAAAACCGTCTTAGACATATGTGTGAGTTAGGAGTCAAGTGTGAAAAGCACTTGACTAATGTCACCAACGTTCGAACTATCAAGTGTGAAAATCCTGAAATGTAGTTTTCTTTGTAATTGAATTTTTAAATGGACTAACTTTGAACAAATAACATTAAAGGTTAGATTTAGAAAAAATTGAAAAGGCTAATTACACAATTAGTTTTATTTTTCACCATTACTAATTTAATACTTGTTTATATAGACCATTTAGTGATTTCTTGATGCATCAAACTTGTGATTTGTACAGATGACTATTTGATTACCTTTTGCATCAAACCAGCTAATATCATTCATTTCATTGTGATTCAAAGCCACTACTGATAGAAGTATTTTTCTCACATCATTCTCTATCCATTGTGGTGTTGTATTAACATAGACTATTGTGATCCCTTTAAATTGACAGTCATCCAGGCCTTTTAGATTTTGTTCAATCTTAATGTGGCGACTTTATGGGCAGGTGTAAGAGGCATGGCACGGGCAGGTGTAAGAGGCATGGCACGGGCATGTTATCACACTTGGCGAGTTACAGGTGCACAATCTCCCATGGTCTTGGTGTGAAAAGGGGAAGTGTTACATATGTAAGATTTGTACACTCTAAATGGTATGAGGCTTTTGGAGATAAGATCCAAGAGAAAAATCAGGCGAGTTCAGGCGCAAAGCAAATAATATCATACCATGTGGTGGAGTGAATCGTTATAAATGGTATCAAAGCCTGACCTAGTCGGAAGTGTGACCAATGGGAACGTTGGACCCTTAAGGGGGGTGATTGTAGCGACCTTGTGAGTGGATGTAAGAGGCACTGGCGCCTTATCACACTAGGTGACATACAGGTGCACAATCCCACATTGCCTTAATATAAAAAGAGGTATGAGACCCGTGAAAAGGTGCAAGAGGCATTGTCAAGCTACCACACTAGGTAATTTCACTTAATCTGAGATTTTGAAAATACAAAAATTCAAATACACACTGTTTACCCACACACTCCATAGTAAGCTACAAAATGAAGATGGTCCAGCGTGTGAAGTGGGCCCTGACTTGATACTGCTCGACCCATCCCATTTGCTTTTAAAATGAGAAAAAGGCTACCTAAAGATGTTGGGCCCAAGTAGACCCAAAGTCAGACCTCCATGGTTGGGCTGGTCAGTAGCAACCAAACTTTTTATGAGTACCTTTTTTTTTAATTATTTTTAATTGTATTAGTGGTAAATGAATTACCAATTTTATTTCTAGTGGCTCTACAATAATGTGATGGTTTATTTTTTATGTATAAGTTTAATACAAGAAGGTTAAATTGATAATATTTAAAAAAATAGTATATTTGACCTTTCAAATGTAACACTTATTTTGATACGAATAAAAATAAAAAGGTAAATATTTTTTTTTGAGATGAAAGGAGTATAACATTTACTTAAGGAATTAATAAATTGTTATATTATTTCATTAAATTTTTTTTTTTTTTTTTTCACATTTCTAAATTGTCATTTTTGTTTTGCACTTTTTGACTTTTGGTGAATATTGATGTTGGTCTAAATGGCCTTGTTATTCTACAAAGGTGTTCTCAGAATGTGTTCACTATGTATTTGTCAATGGAACTTCATGAGGATAGCTTGAAAATTTTGTTTACTAGAGATTATCATATATTAATTATATTATTTTTTATATAGTACTATAACGACATGCTTTACATGTTCTCTCATTTTCTGAGATATCTTAGGGGAATGAAGACTGATTTTGGTGGGCCAACCAACAGATTTCCAAACCTGATTTTCTAACCTAATCTCCAAACTTGACCTCAATTTTAAGAAGGGAAAGTGAAGACTGATTGGATGGCCAACAAACCAATTTCCAATCTTTTGATTAGACTAAGAGTTAATTATTCAAATTGAATATCGTGTTAGATTGAGTTCAGTGCCTTCCGTCTGTATTTGATGTGGGATGAATCTTTGTGAGTGACATATAGTCACGAGTTCAGTGTATTTGATGTGGGATGGATTTTTGTGAGTGACATATAGTCACGAGTTCAGTGCTTTTCGTCTGATGTGGGATGGATCTTTGTGAGTGACATATAGTCACACCTCCAATTTTAAAAAAACATTGATGATAGTGTTTATTGACATTTTGATTTGAAAGAAGTAAGATACTCCTTCTGTTGAAAAAAAAAAAAAAGAAGAGGCTCTTTTGAATAATTGTGACTCACAATTCATACTTCCTTATCCCAAAAAAAAATGTCCCCTTTGTTTTTTAAAAAATTGTCTTTGTGAATTGTGAGTAAGTTCTCCAAAAGGAACCTTTTTTTTTATTTCGTTTTTTTTTTTTGTACAAAAGGAGTATTTTTCAAGACTCCAAAATATGCTAGAAAGATAAAGTTCCAATTTGGTATAATGGAAATGAAAGAAAAGGAGAAGAATGGTAATGGAAGGAATAAAAAAATGTGTCTGGTAAGAAATATTGGATGAAAAGGAAGTAAAAATGAAGGATTTGGAGGGATAAAAGAAGGCATTAATGGTAACTGTTGTTATCCTCTCAAAAATGGGAGAAATTGAAGGAAATGCTAATATTTTTAATAAAATTTCGTTAATACTATATTTGTCTCTTTTTATTTTTTATATTATTATTTTTTTTTAGAAGAAAGATCGAAAAAATGCATGATTGTAAATTATTATAATAATTTTTTTTCCTATTTTTCTCCAAACATAATTATTATCATTTCATTTCATTTATCTTACTAATAAACCAAACACGATAAGTAATTAACATTGTTCTCTTTTTTCTTTCTTTTATTTTCTCTAATAAATAATGTTTTTTCTTCTTCTTTTTTTTTTTTTTTTTTTTTTTTTTCACTGTACCAAACATAGCCTAAGAGTCAAGATGTATAATCTGAAACAATGGAAAGGAAAAGTTTTTGATTTACCAATCAACCTCAAAATAATCCACTAAGTATCACAACCACCATTTTAACGCCCTCCAAATTCCAGTTTAAATATATTATAATAGAATAGCCTGTTTAAAACCTAAGGTCACTCCAAAATGCAATGGAAAATTTTTTTGAGCCAAAAAATGCAGATTTGAGTTTGAGAATAAACACTCTATTTAAATAAATTTTCAAAACTTAAATACATAATCAATTCACTTCAAATCATTAATGTCGAACAAAATCAGCCACTACATATTCTTAGTAGGGTTCACAGAAATTCCAAGAAGAATGAAATTGGGTGGAAAAAGAAAAGTGCTCAGCCACAAGTTAAGAAATAAATCAACATGAGAACATTTGGAAAAATAAAAATCAGAAAACCAGATAAAGAATCAACATGTCCACAATAAATTTGCAGAAAACACAACAAATCATAAATTTGCAGAACACACACCATCCCATAACTTTGCAGCATAAACACACACACACACACCCCATCCCATAACATTGCATGCAGCATAAACACACACACCCCCATCAAACAACTTTCCAGCATCAACACACACACACACACCCCATCAAATAACTTTCCAGCATAAACACACACACACAAACACACAAGGAAGAACAGAACCTTTTTTTTTTTTGACAAGTCAAGGAAGTACAGAACTAATTTTTATTTTTTTAATAAGTCAAGGAAGAACAGAACTTTGTCAACACAGAAGACTAATCCACCCGTTACCTGCCTAACTTCATTTTTGCTGAGATCTAATTTTAACATAAGATACTTAACTTTGTATTAACTCTTCTGATTTCCCATTTTTCATTTTTTTTCGAGACACCATAATCAGCCAAAAGGACCGAAATTCCCGGACTCCTCAAACTCAGTTGAAGAAATCTATGTCCGATCACTTACCTGGAGCAACAATACTGCAATACCTATGTTCGAGCAATATCAGCAAGGCTTTCATACAAGACTTTGGGACTCATTTGTACACATTTCTAATGTAAACAACAGTACATCAATCAAAATTCTGTAACAAAGGGCCATGGTTGAACTTAATTATAGATGACAATCCAACTATATTATTTATATAACAACTAAAAGTCTATAATTTAACAACATAGTAGCGTACGGGACCAGCCCCAATCGTTTATTACATTATGCCTGAAGCTGCTAGCCCTTCTAAATTTCGTAAAAAAGATCAACTACTACAATACTACTAGCTAATAGAGTTTTCACCTGACCAGGGCAGATCTCTTAGTATGTAGTTGTCTCCCCATTTAGAATATGAAGTTGAAATTCAGATCAGCAATCTTCTCATCAGTACCAAATCGAAATGTCCGGTTTCGAGAGGACATCCCTTGCAACTCCGGGTATACCCTCGGTATAATCCACAGATGGAATATTGAAGGGAGACCCAAAAATCAACTGGAAGTTTTCATTATGGCTGGCCTCAAATGGGGAATTCAAACCCCTGCACTGGTCAAACCTGTCTTCCCCTTGTGAGAACATGGAGCGATTAATGGATTCGAAGATATTACCTTCCATCTCAACCCCTCCTTGGCCATGAAGGTAGCTGTCCTGTTCACACTGAATATTTGATTGTGTGAGAGTCTGATCTCTGGCAGCTACAATGTTCCCCGGATTCGAGTTCTTGCTTCCTTGAATATTCGCATCGTAAAAGGACATAAGATCACTGATCATTTTCTGCCCGTCTTCTGGAACTCCAAGTCCTGATAGATTAAAGGAAGGTGCAACTGAACTGGCCACTGGAGCAGCTGGTTGCTTGGGTTGGACATAGGTTGGAGGGAAGACGACAGGTTTCACTTCATTAATATGAAAGTTTGAAGCTCCAAACTCTGAAAAGTTGCTTCTATATGGGCAAGTTAATTGATGATTGTCTCTTGTAGACCTGTCATGAAAACCTTGGCTGATTGCACTATGAGGGCATTGGAGACACTCACAGGTATAGACTTTCTGATCCGTCATTATCTTCAATTCATTGGCTGGCTTCCTCTTCCTGGAGAAATCCAAGTTGGTTGTGACTTCATCCTTCATCAGATGAGAGAGTTGCTGAACTGGTAGTCCATCTTTAAATCTCTCCATCCCCATATTAAACAGATTGAGATTGTTGGGTTTCTGCTCCAGCATGTCGAAGTTAGGTTCATCATCAGCCCCTTCAACATCATACTCACTGCTGTCAGTATTGACAAAAGACCCACTCCCACCAGCCGAGGACAGGGGGGGACAACGGTCAGGGTAAAGTTCTCGGGCCACAGCTTCCTCCTGGTTGATGATGGCAAGCCAAGTCGCACTCTCCTTAGCAGTCATCTTGTCTTGCAAGCACTTGGACTGCCGTACAAGCTTACGAATCTTGGCAATATCAGGTGACATATGCTTAATCACTGCTGTAAGAACACCCACCTTCCACGCCTTCTTTAAATCATGGGGCTTCTTGTAAGGCGGAGGGCCTTGATTCATCTGTAAACCCAATTCAGGCCACCATTCTTCGTTCCCAGTAGGCCACCATGGTGGCGGAACACCTTTCTCTAAGGGGAACCGCCTCTGTGGGGGATCACAGTGCTGCATCAGGGCTGATAATAGAGAACCAAGGGTCGTGTCTTGAAGCTCTTGCAAGGTGTGGGGGGTAGGACCAACTGGGTTGCAGCCCTCATTCTTGCCAGGTATTAAATGATCCGCTTGGTATTTCGCTATGGCAGCTGGACCATTACGATCAAACCTCACTTTGTCCTTCCACCACTCTCTGAGATTGTCAGACGCACCGCTCACAGGCTTTCCCTTCTCTGGAATAATCCCATAAACGAAGCCTTGAGCTTTACAAACTTCCATCATCTTCAACATGTATTTCAGAATACCATCTTGTGCCCTCGACATCTTCTTCCTCCTCGCCTGTTCTTGCGATTGCTGTTGCTTTGCAGCATCGATTCCTTCCTTACCCTTTTTCATTTCCTTGAGCCGCTTCAATCGCATCTTATCCCTCCACATCCTCCTCTCAAGCTCATCCACATCAAGCTCTTCATCTGTGTAATCATCCTCAACAACTGCCTCCGGTTCAGTTAGCGATGCGACCACATCTCCTTCCCCAACGGGAGCAGAAAAGTAATCATCACCACAAAAACCCATTTCATCAAACATCATCATCTTCCCGTGCAGCGAACTCTGGGTTAACCTTAAATTAGCAAGAACTTCAAAACCTACAAATCCCAAGTTCTCAGACTAGCTATTCCTCGGCAAACAGAGACCGAAAAATACTCAAATCACAAGAACTTCCCCCTAAAAACACCATACAAAGGAAAACAAGAAAATATCAATTAGAATCAAATATGATAATTATCTCAATTAGGCCTATGAGCAAGTAATCAACAAAATTGCACCAACTATACAAAATACACACAGGGAAAAATAGAATCTAACCCTATATAAAAAGAAATGATGGAGAATATCAAGAGCCCAATTTAAATAGGGTATTTTAAGGATCTAAATCGGGTAAATACTAGTTTCTCCATACACAAATACAATTACAGGTTACAACAACAGGGGATATAAATTTACTTAAACAAGATGAAGTATACACAAAACAATATTAAAACCTTTTGTAAACAAATCATAAAGGATTCAAATAATCTCATCAATCCATATTCAGATAAGTCAGATCTGAACATATGAGAGATGAAAATGACCTGGGTTCCAGCAAAAAAGCAAAACCCCTACCCTCTACCCAATTTTTCCCCAGAAAAATCACAAAATTTTCCTGAGAAAACGTAAAATGATCCATATGCTGTTTGGATGTGAGAAAAAGTTGAAGTAGCTGAGGCGGTGGGCAGAAACCAAAATCCCCAAAGCAACCCAAACATGTTTCAAAGCTTCAAATTGAAATCCAAGCATAACTAAGAACAATTAATTCCAATTACAGATATGGATCTGGGTTTAACAGCAACAAAAAATTCAACCAAAACCCAGAAAAAAAAAAAAAAAAAAAAAATCTTGATATGGGTTGAACAAAACCAAATTCAACTAAAACCCAGAAATGGAGAAATTGAAAAATAAAAATAAAAATAGAAAATCAACATCGCCATGAAAGAAAGTGCAAATAGAGAATATATTTTTAAGAACCGTACCACAGGGCGGCTGCTGCTGCTGCTGCTTCTTCCTTCTTGTTTTCCACTCGTGTACAACTCTTCTACCTCTCCTGCAAAAGTCTTTTAGAGAGAGAAAAGTTGGGGAAGAGAGATAGAGAGAGAAAAAGAAAGCATGGGTTTATTGAAAATGTGTGTTTTGTTTGGTGAAGGAAGAAAAGTGTCGGTAAATGGTAAGGTGGTCATGTTAATGAAAATTGAATCAACCAATTGGGTCTTTGGCTTTGGAGATAAGCGTTTAGAAGTCAGTGATGCATTTATGACCAAGAAAGTGTCGGGACCGCGTCTGACTGTCTTTTTGTGTATACATTCAAACAATCTCTCGTGGGGCTGGGATTGTCTCCTTTGCGCTCGTATTTTATTGAGTAAAATTTGTCATAATTACAAAGATCTCCTCTATAATTTAAGAAATTATTTGGAATTCCCTTAAAAATAAAACTAACCTACACAAACCTCTCATTCTAGTGACGGATAGTCAATGCACTAACGGACCTATCTAATTTACTGAAATGCCCTGTGCATATATATATTATACATAAATTGTGTATAACACTACTTTATGAACTTTAATCGAAAAATCTAGTAGAATAGATCAACGGGAGTTGGCTTCCATATTTATATTGTTATATCGGTGAGATTGTTTAATCGGCTTCAGATGAAAAAAAGGAATTACCCTAACCTATTCTTATATAACATTTACACAGTTTTCCTTTTAGCAACGTTCTTTTTCACTCAACATTTCGGGCTCAGGTTTGGATATCACTTAGCAATGATCTATTCTCTCCCTTTCTTCAACAAGTTTTGGGTATATTTTGATCCACCATCATTTTTCTCTTCACCTATTTTTTTTCCCAAACAAAACCCATTTTGGGGGAGGTGGGTCAGATTGTTGGCAAAAGTGAATATAAAAATTAAGTGAATAGAGTCTCGAGGATGAGAGAATTGAAGTTGATGATATGAAGAAAGGGTGATTTGTTTAGAAATTTCACATATCTGATTTCCTAATCTTCATCACATAGCATAGATACATACATTTATATATATATATATGTATAATATAGAAAGAGAGAATTAAAGTTGTGGATGTGAAAAAAAGGGTGATGTGATTAGAAATTCTTTAAACCCATTTTGAGTGGTCACCTATTTCATTCAATACATGTAATCACATTTTATAGTATTGGTACAATATTGAATATCTATATGTATATATTTGTGTATTTTTTCTTTCTCTCTCTACTCTATCCTCTTGCAGTGACTGAATTGGTATCATATTAATAAGACGATTCTTAGTACAATGACGATGACGAGATGTCGGTAAAATCAATATGGGTTTTATATGCTGCATTTTGTGTATATTCATGTTATATTTTGAAAATGGATGACTTCAAAGGTACGTAATGCTTACTTGAAGTTGGAAACATTATCACTGGTACGGTTGCAAATGAACCGAGCCATTCATGAACAACTCAGCCTTGGCTCGAACTCGTTCGTTTAGTAAACGAGCCGAACTTGATCATGATTTTTCATACTCGTTTAGTAAATGAGCCGAGCTTGAACAATGTTAAGCTCGGCTCATGAGCTCATGAACAAGCTCGTTTATATAAATCATATATATATATATATATAAATCATATATATATATATATTACTTAGCCCAATTAAAATATTGGTATTTGGAAACCCATTAAACAAGCAAAGTCCAACCCACTAACCCAATTTGTAGATTCATCTTAGCCATTAGATTAAGTTTACAATATCTTAAAGGTTAGATACAAACCCTAAAACATAGTCGTGCAACAGGTTTCTCCAATCCCACTGGCACTACATCCAAAATCCTCATCTGCAACGAAAATCCTTTCAATACACAATTGTTCTACTCCTTAGGCGACAACAAAGTTAGGTTTCTTTCTCAATCTCCCTCTCTATTTCTCTCTCTATGGCTTAATATTCTCTCTATAATGTTGTTAATGAATCTGGTGAAAGAGACTATGAAGAATAGAGGAGATGAGGTATTGATTAGAACTTAAATGTTGATTCGAAGGTGTTGATGCGATTTTTCTATCCAAAAATGGTTGATATAATATATATATATATATGTACACATACGAGCTCGAGCTCGTCAAAAAAGTGTTGAGCCGAGCCCGAGCCTGGCTAAACTAAGTTCACCCGAGCCTGAGCCGAGCCCGAGCAACTCTATGGCCTAGGCGAGCCGAGACTGAGTAAGCCAATCCTCGGCTTGGCTTGGGACATTTGCAACCCTAATCTCTAGTGGTCGGTGGTGGTGGTGGTGGTGGTGATGATCGTGGTGGTTGGCCAGTAGGTGAATATAATATGGAGAGAGAAAATGAGTAATGAGAGAGTGGGAGAGAGGAGAAGGATGGAGGGTAATACGATAATTTTAATTTATTAAATACATGACATCAGCAAAATCCGTCATTGACTTGCATTGACTGTCACATAAGGGAGGTCTATGTAGGTAAGTTTCATTTTCAGGAGAGGTTCGAGTAATTTCCCAAACCATAGGGGATGTCTTTATAATTATGGTAAACGATAGGAGAGGTCCATGCAGTTTACCCTATTTTATTTGAAAGTAATTTACAGTGATAACCCTTGAGGTTTGTCTTATTGACAACTATATATAAGTTAGTCCATTTTTTAAAAATGACACTCCCACCCATAAATTGGATACAAAACAGGCCCTAAAAAGGTGTGAAAAGTTGAGATTGCCCTTCAATATTATATTAATTTTAATTGTGAATTATCAAATTTTTGAAAGATCGTTGTGCCCTTCTATCCACCGCCCACCCCTTCTTTCTTTTTTTCTTTCTTCATATATATATATATATATATATATATATATATATATGAGTTTATGTGTAAATATATAATAATACTATTGCCCAAATAATGACTCTAGAGGGGGGTGAATAAAGTCTTAGCAAACAATGGTCAATTTTTAATTTTAATTAATATGTAAGTATTAAGCTAACTTTCTCAGCAATTGTTCAATAAATCAATCAGAATTTTAAGCCTCAACTAATAATATTTATCAAGAGATTAATCATGCTAAACTTTAAGCAATAAATGTAAGAGATAAAGAGAGAGATTGCAAACAAGTACTCAACGATTTTAGCGAGGTTCGGAAACTCCTACTCCTCGGCTCAAGACCCCTTTTGAGACTGTCCAATCCACTATGGCTTCTCCTTACGGGTGGAAAGCAAACCTTTTACAAGAAGCACCTTCTTACTTTAAATTGCTAAGAGAAACACCTTCTCTTAGTCTTCCTTGGGCCACACCAGCCCTTACAAAGTTTAAAGAAGATAAATGAAATACAAGATAATCTCTCACATATTTATAGTACAAATTTCAGCTCACTCTAGAGTATGTATGAATAGATCGAAGCTCAATACTCTTTAAGGATATGAAGTATGTGAATGATGAGATAAAGGCTCTATGATTGTAAGGATTTGATTCTTAGTGGTTGCAATACCTTTTTATGAAGACAATAACTCATTATATAGATTTTCAGACATATCTGATGTGTATTCTAGCTGTTGGGCACACAGTTTGAGATAAAATAGCTGTTCAAATTTGAATCTGCTCTAGTTCAGTCGACCGAAATGAAACATATTTTGTTTCGGTCGTTCGAAATGACCTAAGGCTTTCATTCACCTTTTTACTTCGGTCGGCCGAAATGGATTAGGCTTTTATTTCGGTCGTCCGAAATAGCCCGAGGCCTTGTTGCATAGCTACTGTCAAAATTGGTCATCCGATTCATATAGTTTTTCTATTTCAGTCGTCCGAAATAGTCATGAGGTCTTGTTGCTTTAGCTACTGCCCAAAATGGTCGTCTGATTCAAATTGTCGTTCCATTTCGGTCGACCGAAATGGAACTTTTCCTTCAAGAACCTTGTTCTAAGTTATAGATGATGTTTATCATGTAAGTGATTAATGTATAACCATAGATATGAGCTTCAATATGTTCATATATACTTTGACAAAGTTTCCTATTCACTCACCACCTTAGCAACCCCTTTTTCATTGTATTTGCATGATCATTTGATTACTTAACTGATCTTGATAACTTTCGATTGAGACTTGATGTCTTTAGTATTTCCTTCATGATCCTTTTATGGTGCAACTTTTCATCTGTACTTTTCATGTAATGACCCAGTCATTTTTCTTCCTTTCTTTTTCCTCAAATTTCACGAATTTTTTTTTTTTCGTTGATATTTTCTTTTTTGAGTTCGGTTTCTTGTCACTTAGTGTCATCTTGAGTGCTCGGGAATGATTTCCGAGACTCTTTCCTTTGGATTGACAACTTCCTTAAAGGACCGCGTCATTTCTACATTTTTCGTTTTTTGACACTATTCACTTTTCGTTCTTTTCCCCGTTTGTCACTATGTTAGCATAACCTCACTTTTTGTGTTCGGAGTTGATTTTTGACTTCATATACCTTCATTCTAAGTGGTTTCCATGATATACGTATCTTTACTTTTGCAAAAAAGTACTCTGGTTGCTCCCGGTGTCCATAGGGGCATGCATGCATAGTTCTTCAATAACATTTTGTTTTCTTGGGGTGTTTTTCATTAATATCTTTTGAAGATATTTTATTTCAGGAGTTTTTTAAAAAATATTTTTGGAAGATATTTTCATTCTGGGTCATTAACGCATTTAACCCTTTTTGTAGGGGCAATTGTCCAATTAACAAAAGTTATTGCAAAAATGCATCGTTTTGAGCCTAGATCCTCATGTGGAATTCATTTTCACTTTTTGTCGAGTCGTGTACTCTTAGAATTTCCTTCCGGTCATTTTTTCTCAGTTTTAGGGTTTTTGGCCCCGGTTATCGCTGAACTTGTTCGGGGTATATCTCTCTGCTCGGGACTCGGTTTTCGACGTCGTTTCTTCCGTTGTTCATCTTTTCTCATTTAGGTTCTTTTTTGTTCATAGAGTTTTGCCGTTTGAGCAGGTCTTCTCAAATTCCACTTTTCCAGACCCATCGAGACCCGTTCGGGACACTTTTAGGGTTTTTCTATAAATAGGGTAACTTGAGATGAAAAATCAGATTTTCTCATCTTTTTCCCCTCTCTTGGCCGACAGCAATGGCAGCCAAGGGGCTATCACCCTTCTTCTTCTTTTTTCGGCCTCTTTCCTCGTGGTAAATGCCGCAGTGCATTAGTGTTTATTGTAGGCCTTGGTGAGATCTTCCTTTCCCCCTTAT